CCTGGAAGACTCCTCCCCCAAGAAACCCTATATAAGCCCCGCCTACTTCTCAGCTCCCTGCTGCTTCTCTCCTTAGCAGAGGCAGCCAGCCTCTTGTGTCTCTCCCAATAAATCTCTTGTGTGAGGTTTGTTGTGCACTGTGACACTATGGTTTCTTTGGCTCTGGACTGCCAGGATATTTTTTTCCTTCAGAGCTTTAACAGTTGCATTGAGGTGATCTTCCTGCTCAGCGCTGTAACACGTCCACTGTGGAAACCTTCCCCCTCAGAGCTGTAACATTTACAAGGTTGACCTTGAAACCACACTAATATATTTTTGAAAAGTAAATCATTCACATTTTATATTATCTCAGTCATTATTGGAAACATGTTACTTGCTCAAAACCTCTGGATGTCACCTATGATTCCATACCACCATTAGACTGTTTGAGAATCAGTGTTTTACATCAGCTCCCTAACTATTTACCATAATACTCCTTGTAGGATCCTGTTATCCTTGTAATTTTCATAGCAGCTTTTTCCCTTTCATTTCTATAGTGTAACATTACCCAGGGAGACTTGAATGAACATGTATTCACCCTGGATAATGCACTAAAGACAGACGAAAGAAATTATTCCACTGAAGTCCAGCTAATTGAACCAGTGAGTTTACTGGGATTACTTATAGTAATATTGATGATAGCTACTTATAGTAGTGTGGGTGACTCAAAGCAGTTGCTTCACTGAAAAGCCTATGAAAAGCATGGATCACCACTCATAGAAGCTGCATCACTGAAGCTCCTTATACCACTTGTTCAGAGCTCTGCCTGTAATTGTTCCTGTGTAGATAATCTTGGGGAGGGGAATCTTGACACTTTCTAAGTTTCAGGAACTTCCTAGGCCTTGTGAAAAGATTGTTTACTTCCTGAAACTTAGAACTTTACTTCTCAAGCTTTAAAGAGTCTACCACCTCCTCTAGGAGGGAATTAAAATTCCTAACAGTGGAAGGTAGCTAGACCCACCCCATTGCCCTTTTTTCTCTTCTTCCAGCACTTCTCTCCCTCATTGATTTTTTCTTTTCAAACACAGCTTGATTTTTAACTATTATTTACTTCTTTCTGCTATGTTGAACTGTTTTGTAACATCCACCCTGGGGGTGGAGGGCAGCTACTTAAGCAAGGATGTAAACAACTAAAAAACAGCATCAAGAACTAGAAACTGACAAGATTCACTAGGCCCCACCCTGCCAGAGTAAACAATAAGAGCTGAGAGTCCCTTTTCTCAGAGGAAATAAAGCCAAGCTGCAAAGAAGTCTCTTAGACCAGACTGACTGTCTCAAAGAAACATAAACCAGCTGAGCTGCCTGGAAGAGGTTTAGACCAACTGAGGTACCTGGAAAGGACACCCTCCAACTTGTTGAGCTATCTGTAGGCTGTGCAGTGTACTCCAGGTGTCTCAGGTTTTGAGAGCCGTCACTCATGTTGGAGTGAGTCTTGGTGTGCAGTTGTATTTGAGTCATTTCTGCTCCTGTAATTAATGTCTCACCCATATTCCCATAAGTAACTGTCTTAGCCACTGTGCTATTGCTGTAAAGAGACATCATGACCAAGGCAACTATTTAATTGGGGGCTTGCTTACCGTTTCAGAGGTTTAGTTCATTATCATCATGGCAAGAAGCATGGCAGTTGCAGGCAGACTCTGAAGCAGTAGCTGAAAACAACTTCTGTGCCTGATTTTAGGCACAGAAGTGGGTGGGAAAAGAGACAGAGAAAGACAAAGATGGAGAGAGACAGAGACAAAGACACTGGGCCTGGAGTGAGCTTTAAAGCCCACCCCGGATGATACACACTTCCTCCAACAAGGAATAATAATTTTCAAGTAGTGCCACTCCCTGATGATTATATGAGTATATGAGGCCCATTCTTATTCCAACCACCACAGTAACCCCAATAAAACCCATTGGTTCACTAAGCTGGACTTTGGTGGTATCCATACATTGGGATGTTGTGTGTGGGTTTCATATCTGGGGTGAATAGATAGATGAGTATGTTGTCTCCTCAGGAAAAGTTTTATCATACAAAATTAAATTAATTCTTCTTAAGGTTGATGTGTAATAATTTTTCTTCTTTTTTCTGTTACTTGTTTTCTTTGCTTATTCTAGAAAGGGTCTTGCTGTATAGGTCTGGCTGGCCTGCTGATTACAATGTAGCCCAGACTGGCTTCAGATTTGTTGCAACCCTCCTGCTTCAGTTACTGAGATGCCACCATATGTGTTACAGCTCTGAGGGGAAAGGCTTCCCCAGGGGAACTGGTGCTCTGAGTGGGGGAGATGTCTTGGCAGTTGGGAGCCAAGGACTAGCACATCATCATACTACACAACAGACGTCACACAAGAGATTTATTGGGAAAGACACAAGAGTATGGCTGCTTCTGCTAGGGCTAGAAGCAGCAAGGAACTGAGATTTAGGTTTATATAGGTTTTCTCAGGAACAGAGTTTTCCAGGGTGGAGACTTTCAGGGTGGAGATTGGGGGGATTTCAAGTCCTGAGCGTGGAGTGAGAGCCCAGGAATTGGTGGATATAGATGGGATTTTCAAACCTGGAAGTGTGCTCAGACATTTGACCCTATACCATGTCCAGCTTCATTCCTAATATAAGCATTTTAGTACTACATATTTTCTTATAGTCTGTGCTTTGTCTACAGACAATACATTTTGATATGTTGTATTTATTTTTATTACCATTTGGTTGAAAGTAATTTTAAATGATTCTATATGGGAAAATTAGATCTTTGTGTATTCTGAGAGCCCTATTTAATATACTGAATTTTAAAAAAAGGATTTCTATCTGTTAATGAGTTTGACTCTACTATAACTGGGAAAAAAACCCTATAATTTGTATGACAGTAATTCTTCTGAATGTACCAATCCTAGCTTTATAGTGAAGAATACTGTCTAACTCTGGAGAATATTTTACAAGCATTTAAAAGAATGCATTCCACTGTTGCTGGGCAAAGTGTTTTATACTATATGGCAGAGTAAGTTAGGGCTATTTTGAATCCTACATACCCTCAATAGTTTACTGTCTACTTACTCTATCAATTATAAATGAGACAATGCTGGACTCAGCTGTAACTGTGGATTTTCTATCGCTCCTTTTCTCAGGACTCATTTTGCACTATCCTGTTTGAAGCTCTGTTCCTAGATGGCTAAACATCTGGAACTGACTGTTGATGAGCTTTGTTGTGATGCAGCCTGCCTCCTTCTTCCCATTAGCATCCCTACTATAAAATCTACCTTAGCTAATACCAATATGGTTACTCCAGCTCTTTATCAGATATGCTGAGTTTTCATTTACATGCAATAAAATTCACCAGTTCAATGCGTTCAAATTCGTACTATTGGTAACAACCACCTTAGTCTAACACTTAAAATAGTTTCTGTTTTGAAGTCAGTCCCCAGTCCTGAACCTTGGCATATGGTGTATTTCCTGTCTTGCAATTATACCTTTCTTACTCCATTACATAAATGGATCAAAATAGTAAATAATGTTCTGGCAATTTGGCCTCTTTCATGAAGCATAGTATACTTGATACTGCTCATTTCTGTCTTGTTATTGCTAAGTAGTATTCTGTTGTACAGATATACCATGTTTCCTCTAGCTATTTATCCATAGACTGGTTTCCTCCAGTTTGTGGCCATTATATAAAGCTGCTACTAATTTTGAGTGAAAGTTCAAGAGAAAAATGTGGGTTTTTTTTTATTTCTGTTGAGTAAATACTGTGCAGGACTGTGGGGTCATATAGTAATACTAGTATGTGTAACTTCTTGGCTTTCTTTAGTCAACAAGGTTTCTAATTGCTACTAGGATCAGCCCCAGCTGTCAGGAAGTCATGATTGGTTATTGAACAGCAGACCAAGAGAAAAAGCACTACAAGGCAGAAACTTGATGTATATAAGTAGGTGTATATGACCTTGGAGGCCGAACAGAGGTCACCTGTGTAAAGCCAGAAAATATGTCATGAGACTATCTAAGGGAACTTCTCATCTTAACCCTGGGAATTTAAAAGGCTAGTTAAGACAATGACCTTTGCAAATGTCAACTCATGAAATTATTAATCGACTCCAATCCCATGCAAATAACACTCGACATTCAAATAATATAAGACATTCCAACATATTTAAATGGCAGAAATTACATTTTAAGTGTGCAAATGATTACCAGTCGAGTGTAATCTGGCGTTCTGCTAATTGCTTTGCTACTTGTCTCTACTGCATACCTCAGGATCGCTTTAAGACTAAAGCGGCTAGAATTACCTGCCCATTGGGCTCTCAGTTGTAACTGAGACAAGTTGAGTAGCCTCAAGGAGCCGAGGGCGCACAGGTAAAGGTCGCGTGGCCACAGAATCTGACATTTCAAATCACCCTGCCCAGCTGGGCCTCCGCTGCCGACGACAGGTCAGCTAGTCACAGACTTGCTTCTTGTGAGAAGGGGCTGGGCTCTGTTGGCAGCGCACGCCGCCGCCCTTGCCTCGGCCTTCACAGCCCTCCCTTTCCCCGGGCCCACGCCCGCGGCGATCCCCGCGCATCCCGCAACTGCCCGGCAGGTGTGCGCGGCGCGCGCGCACCAGGTCCACCCGGAGACGCGGTGGGTGCGCGCGGGGACGCAGGGCGCGCGCCAGAAGGAGAGCTAGAGAGCAGCGGCGCCCCTCCGGTCCCACCCCCCTCCTCCGCCGTCGCCCGCCGGGGATGCTCGCGTGCGGCCCTCCTCGCGTTTAAAGCCGCGGCTCCGAGGGGGGCGGCGAGCAGGATCGACAGGGAGGGGGCCGCTGGCGTTCTGCAGAGGGCTGGCCCGGGTTCGTCGGCTGCTGTCACCTGACTCGTCGCGGGCGCTCCAGCTGAGGTGGGGGCGGGGATGGGGACGCAGCGCCGAGCGCTAGAGAGACGCGGCGGCGCTGGCGGAGGCGGCGGCGGGCGGGGACCGCGGGGACCGCGGAGCTGAGACAGGGGCCGGGCCGGGGCTACAGGCATCGCGGCCCGGGGACACCAGGGCGGCGCGTGCCTGCACCCAGCTACCTCGCGCGGCGATCGGGCTGCGGTGCTCCTGGGGCGGGGTGAGTACGCTGGGCCGCACGGGTCCCCTCCCCTGCTCCAGGGCCCGGAGATTCGAGGGATAATCCTAGGGCGCGGAGAAGGGCAGAGGCGGCCGGTTGACAGCTCGGTGGCGCGCTAGCGGCCGGGCGGGGCCTGGGCTGTCCGCCCTCTGAGATCCTACTCGAGAAGGGTGAGGCGCACCGCACCGAGGCTCTGGGCGGCCGGGCTATGGAGATGGAGGGCGAGGGAGGGCGAGTCAGTGCTGCCGCCGCAGCCCCGGGACAGAAAGGGGGTGGCCGTGGCCCTGCGGTGTCGTGAGAGACACGCTGCGGCTCGGGGCAGCGAAAGGTGTGCGCTTCTGGGCGCGGCGTCCACAGTAACCCCGGTGCGCACAGGGTCTCGCACCACCGTATAGGGTTGCGCGGACAGCGCTTGCTTGACAGGGGGCGAAGCTGGGATATGGTGACCGCTTCAGGGTGTGGGGAAGCAGGACCGTGGCACGATGCAAGGACTACCCTGCGGGTGCCTGACAGCCCTGGACCGCGATGGACCAACTGGGCTTGCCGCGTCGCTGGTCCCAAGAGGCGGTGCCAGGGCGGGGTCGGCGGAGGAGAGAGCCGCCGAGCGGAGGGAGCAGGCAAGGCCGGGAGCTCCTGCTAAGGCGGTGCGGGTGAAAGCCGGACCATCTCCTCTTATTTCCTGCAGAAGAGGAGGCGGTAGACGCGGCCAGTGAAGATGTCGGGCCAAACACTCACGGATCGGATCGCCGCCGCTCAATACAGCGTGACTGGCTCTGCTGTAGCAAGAGCCGTCTGCAAAGCCACCACTCATGAGGTGATGGGCCCCAAGAAGAAGCACCTGGACTGTAAGCATCCTTTTATATAAGCGGGATATGCACATGGCATAGGGGCCTCAAAGGCCGGCGGCACAGCCTTGGCATTCTGTAATATTGCCTGAAGCCTTGGGAACTGGCTCCCCATCAGGTTGATCCTCAGCTCCTGTCTCTGGCCTTGGAGATGTCCCCTTGGGTAGGCCCTGAAACCTTGTCTATTGAGCCATTTTTTTCCTTCTGATGACCTCCAAGTGCTTAGAGGAGGAAACACACACACACACACACACACACACACACACACACACACACACGGTTGCATAAAAGTGTACATTTGGGCTAAGTCTTTTTAATCATTTTTTTTCTCCACCCTCTGTTAGGTTAAGGGAAATGAGGGGTTGCAGGGTCACAATGGAAAGAGACAGACACACAGAGAGATTGATTGATGGATGGATGGCTGTGCTTGACACTAATTTCTTAAGAGCATTTTGGATAATTGTAAAATCCTGCTTTTTCCTCTGCTGCTACTCAGGATTTGTGTGTGAGTGTGGGGGAGTGTGTGTGTGTGTGTGTGTGTGATATGTCACTACATTGAGCTGAACTGAAATAAATCCACGCTATTGAATGAGCAGATCCCACTTCACAGATAATGGCGATCTCATTCTGAACATCTTGGCACCCTTCCTTTGTCCTGTTCTCAGAAAATGCTGGGTGGGATAACTGGTCAGGTCACAAAATGGATGTCCTCTCCTCATTAGAGGTAGTACAGTTTTAGATGAAAACATTCAATACATAATATTTTCACATGGTCATTGGATGGAGAAAGCTTTATTCAGGTTTAGGACCTATATATTTCTGAAGTTTTTCATGCAGTTAGTATAGTAAATCTTTGCTGCTGGAGGGGGAAGTGATACTCAGAAAGACTTCAGCCTGCTTTAGGCAGTGAGTATCCCCTAAGGCTACCCCAAATAGTATTCTACGATCTCTATATGTCTGTTTGACCTGCTTAGAATCCTCTGCCCTTTGAGGGTGCTCATTGTTAAATGACATTCTTGGAACAGAAACACATTTGTTGTGTTCATATTCCTACCTCACGCTCTTGACCTGTTTGTTTGTTTGTTTGTTTGTTGTTTTTGCTTTATTTTTTATATTTTATTTTCTTCAACCCTTCTTCTGCCTCTTGTGTGGCTGATAAAATGGCATCCCCACCATTACGGTCAGCTCAGCCCCATTCTTGCCATGAGCAAAGCTTGAGGAAGCTTGCAAGTGGGCACTGTCAGAGCTGTCACACAGCATTGAAGACTTGTCTGTCTAGAAGTTTATCCGAGGGGAGAGACATTATTACATCTTTCCTGAGGGAATGTTTAAGAAAATTTATTGATTACAGTATCATGTGTTACCTATTGAGTACCAGGTAAAAGAGGCTCCCAGGGCCAAGACACCTAACAGGAGCACGAGTTATAAATTCATGAGCGGCTCCCTTTGCTGCAGCATGCTGAATCATTTAGCCATCTTTCCATCAGTTTCCCCAACTCTGCAAGGCTGACTCACAATTCGGTGGTTCTGTCAGCCTAGAAAATGATCATGACAAAAGCTGTTTAGGCTACAGATTTGCTTTCTACGATAGATCAGTGTTGATGCATGTCAGAGAGCATCCTCAGGTTTGGTCATTTCAGATAGACATCATTCAGATAAAGACTGGGTTCCCCAAATCTGATTCGTTATCTTTGTCCTCATAGGTCTGGAAATATCTCTTAAAAGTGTTTGCAAGTAGGTTATTTCCAATACTCCAGCATATGTTAATGAGTAGAGTACTTCAGAAGACAGGAATCATGGTAGAAGATTCCATGTTAACAGAAATAAGCAGAAATAGGAATTGATTTTGAATTACGTGAATATGTTATACTTCCTTGTGCTGGCTACTGAGCTTTTCTGCTGTGGTGACAAACCTCGATTTGCCTTTAACCATGGCATTTAACTGCCATCTCTGGTTAGAAACCTGCGCTGTTGTCAAAGTAGGAAGAACACATAGCCTAACCCTTCTCATCTACAAAACACCTACCTTGCTTGAATGGATTTCACAACTCATACACACATTTTAGTCTCCGTGAAAAATTATTAATTCTTTCACTTTAAAAAACTGAACAGGATCCAAGTTCTGAGGCAGGTGTTTAGCAGCTCTTTTTCTTCTTTTATCTTTCCATTCAAACATGAATGATCCTCCCCTTAGACTTTGGATGGAATTTGGAAAGACAGGTGTCATACTGCTGCTACGTCTTACTTTAATATGACTGAAAAATTGACTACTTAAACTGTATTATGCTCAGATTTTTTTTGAAGTTCCTTTAAAAATCACTACTCTCAGTAGTTAAGAGATGGAGGTTGGGCTGGAGAGATGGCTCAGAGGTTAAGAGCACTGACTGCTCTTTCAGAGGGCCTGAGTTCAATTCCCAGTAACCACATGGTGACTCATAACCATTTATAAGGAGATCAGGCATACCCATAAGCAGAACACTGAATACATAATAAATAAAAAATTTCTAAAAACAAGAGATAGAGATAAAGTAATATATCATTTGTAAAGTGCATTAATCTTGTTATTAAGACATGTGAAGGGAGGGAGGGGAAAAAGACATGTCAATCCATTACCTAAGTTTGTCTGGAGACACTGAACCACCCAAATAGTAGTTGTTTTAGTTTTGAAAACATTCAATGTTGATTAGGAGGAAGAGAACAAAACAATTTGGTAGTTTGAAGCAGAAATACATGGTGACTTTGATTTGTACATTTGTAATTTGGAGTTTCAGTTGGGAAATAACCAAAGCTTAGGGTTGTGTGATTGTCTAAAATATTGGATTTATTGCTCTCAGAATCATCATGAAATAGAGATTCAATATTCGAATACTGGCTTAAAAACTAATATTTTGGGATTAAAATACCAAAAATTATTATTGCTAATTATGGTTATTATGTAGTGTTACTTAATAGTGTGTGACTTGCATGTTTGAAGGGATGAGTCATTAACATTTGGGGGCAGCTCTCACATGGGGCAATGTGCTGGTGGGTAAAGTGAAATTCTCAGGTTGTTTGTTTGTTTGTTTGTTCACATATGGTATTAGTTCTTGAACCCAGAGCCTTGTGTATGCTGGTCAAGCATTTTACCACTAAGTTACATTCCTAGCTCAGCTTTCCTTTTTCCATAACAGCATATTTTCTGAAGGGAGAAACAGATTCGTGAAACCATCCACAGTCAGTAGCTATGTATTAAATGTTAAAGATATGGTAAATTTTAGTAATCCAAATAAAAATTATATTTTAGTATATATTTTAGATTATCCAAAAAATATTTCATTCTATACCCTACTGTCCAATAATAATGTTGCCCCATTTAGATTCAAGACTTAACCAATACTAGTTTTCTAGGCTGGCATATGCAACCTTAATTCTTTTTAACTTCTTGTGTGTATTTGGTAGCATATAAAATGCCCAGGACTTAACAGGCATTCATTTGTTTGCTTACCACTGTTTTACATGACAGTGGGTTTTCCTACTCTGTTTTGTAGATAGCCTAAAAGCTAACCCAAGTCAAATAATCAAGTAAAAAAAAAAAAGTTAGTACACACCAAGTATTTAACCAAGTACTATGGCTAGGTTTAACAAAAATACAAAGTAGCATCTGCAGAGGAAATTCAGAATTCATTGTATCCCTGGTGTAAGACTCCTGCCAATGCCTAGTGCTGATGGATTTTCTACATGTGTCATTCAAAGTACCTGAACTAAAACAGTCACAATTCAAACTCAAATGTATCACCAATAACATCAAGCCAAAGCTAATGGAAAGCCCATTTTCCTACCAGCAACCTTTTTTTTTTTATTAGTATTCTTGAAGACTTTTTATAATGAGTTCATTCTACATAAAAAGCAAGTGATTCAAGTCTTGAATCTCTTTGAAAGACACTAGAATTTTATTAATCAGTCTCTTTTCCCCTCAAACCCCAAACTAGTGTCCTTTACTTATGTTAGTGTGTATTTATATGTTTAATATATGTAAAATATGTTTTGATATATAGAAGTGCAATTGGAGTCAGGTGCAGTGGTGCATGTCTGTATTTCCAGTATTTAGGAGGTCAGAGCAGAAGGATCAGTTCAAGGTCATCGCAGACTACATAGCAAGGCCAGACAGGTCTATATCAGATCCTTTCTCAAGACTAAAAATTAGAGAAAAAAAGAAATGTAACCTGCACTATTACAATGGATACTATATTTGTGCCAAATGTATTTTTTACATACTGAAAGACATTAAGATGACTGAATAAAATTAGGTAGGGTCATATGTGAAAGATACTGAGTACATTGTATAACTTTCAGTGTAAGTATACTGACTGACTAGGATATTTACCTTTGACTAGTTGTTTTGACTTAACTATTTGCTATTATCTGGAAACACTTTATTATTTCCCATACCTGGGTGTATTCTGCCTTCTAGATTTCATCAGAAGGCTTACTCTAGTTCTGAAGATGTTTTAAAAACAGAATATATCACTTTTTGGATACTCGAGAAGAGACAGGGAAAATACATATGTGAAAATCCTTTAACCTGACTAGCATTTGTATCACAAGTCCTAAAGGAGGCGTGCTGTGTTTGGCCTTCCAGGAGGGGAGAAAGGAGATAAAGTGAGGTTGAGCGGTTGCCCGGGAGAAGCAAAGAACCTTAGCCACAGTTCACTGCGCAGGATAGACTTTGGGTCTGGTTAGTTTCAGTGTGTGATACTTCAATTCGCAAGCTTTAAAATAAGGTTAGTTGTAAAAAATTTAAAAGTCTTAGGTAATGGGAAGGAGTCTGCCTTTTAGAAATGGAGTGAAAAATCATGAAACAGGCTGAGTAGAACAGCAGGGCTTTTCTTTCCTTTTTTTTTCTTTTTAATGAATTTTAAAATTCTTATTGTTGGTTCTGGAGGTTGGACCCAGAGTCTCATACATGTTAAGGATATGTTGAACCCCAGAGCTATATTCCCAGTCTTTAAAAAATTGATTCA